AAGACCGAGAGAAGAGAAGGCAAGGAAGAGGTGAGTTACGCCTCGGAGAAAGGGAGCGATAAAGAATGCTATGTTGTTACGGATGGCCAAAATATCTCCGGTAAGTGGATACTTGATTCGGGTTGCTCTTACCACATGTGCCCAAACAGGAAGTGGTTTACTACCTATAGAAGCATTGATGGTGGAACCGTATTGTTGGGGAATAACCATGCTTGTAAAACGGTGGGGCTCGGTGATATAAAAATCAAGATGCATGATGGAGTGGTCAGAACCCTAACGGACGTGCGGCACGTTCCCGACTTGCGGAAGAATCTTATCTCAGTGGGTGCATTGGACTCCGGTGGCTGCAAGATTGTTACAGAGAACGGAGTGAAGAAGGTTGTTCGATGTTCCCTAACAGTGATGAAGGGTGTTCGTCACGGTAATCTATATACTCTCTCGGGTACGACGGTGACAGGAGATGCAGCGGTTGGAACTGAAGAAAGCGGTTGGAACTGAAGAAAGCGGCTTGGGCACATGTCAGAGAAGGGTCTAGTTTTGCTTGGTAAGGAGGGTTTGCTGAAGAATCTGAAGAAACCTTGCATGGATTTTTGTGAGGATTGTGTGTATGGAAAGGCGCACAGAGTCCAGTTCTTGAAAAGCAATCACAATAGTAGAGGTATACTAGATTATGTGCACACGGATGTTTGGGGTCCGGCTTAAACAACTTCCAAGGGTGGTTCCAGGTATTTTGTCTCGTTCATAGACGATTATTCTAGGTATGCTTGGATTTATTTTCTTAAGCATAAGAACGAGGTATTCGAGACATTCAAGAAGTGGAAAGCAATGGTTGAGAACAGGACGGGCAAGAAATTGAAGACACTGAGATCTGATAACGGTACAGAGTATACAGACAGTGCTTTCAAGGAGTTCTGTGATCAGGAGGGCATTGTTCGACACTGGACAGTTAGGTCAACACCACAGCAAAATGGGGTTGCAGAGAGACTGAACCGAACATTGCGGGAGAAGGAAATGAGTATGCGATCTTATGCTGGATTGGGCAACGAATGGTGGGCAGAAGCGGTGGCTACAGCATGTTACATTGTGAACCGTTCTCCATATTCGACATTGGATGGTGATACACCCTATAGGGTGTGGTCAGGGGAACATGCCGATTATGAGAGGCTCAGAATTTTCGAATGTACCACCTATTATCACGTCAACGAGGGAAAGCTTGACGCGAGGGCCAAGAAGGCGATATTCTTGGGGTATGCAAAGGGCGTAAAAGGCTACCGCCTTTGGTGTACAGAAGATTCGAAGTTCGTGATCAGCAGGGACGTTACCTTTGATGAAAAATCCATGATTGCTAGGGTGCCCAAAGATGGTGGTGTTGAGACTGTTGGGACTTCCAAGTCCCAGGTTATTGAGATAGAACCTAAAGACCAACCAGGTTCTAGTCATGTTCAAGTGGAAAATCAGGTAGATGATGAGCTTGAGCAAGAGGAGGGTCAACAGGAGAATACACAGGCACTACAACAACAGCAGCTCAAGGATACTTTGGCTTCCACTAGGCCAAAGCGAGCATACAAGCAGGTACAAAAGCTGGGGGTTGATCAACCCCTAAAGCACTATAGGCAGGTTAATTTTGTTGAATACGCACTCTCGGTGGAGGAAGATGAGCTGGTCTCCTTCAAGGAAGTTATTCGGGACAAAGATAGTGAGAGTTGGTTGGCTGCGATGGAGGAGGAGATGGAATCTCTTCGGAAAAACCAAACATGAGAGGTGGTCCCATTGCCCGTAGGAAGAAAAGCTATTGGTTGTAAGTGGGTGTATAAGAGAAAGGAAGATCCTTCAGAGCTCGGTGGCACAAGGTACAAGACGAGACTAGTGGCTAAAGGGTTTGCACAAAGAGAGGGTGTGGATTACAATGAGATATTTTCTCCGGTAGTGAAACACACTTCTATTCGGGTGCTATTGAGTATTGTTGCTCATGGTGATCTTGAGCTGGAACAACTCGATGTTAAAACGGCCTTCTTGCACGGAGACTTGGATGAAGAGATCTACATGCGTCAACCTGAGGGCTACAAGGTTGAGGATAAGGAGCATCATGTATGTCGTTTGAGCAAGTCACTCTATGGACTGAAGCAATCTCCTCGGCAGTGGTACAAGCGATTTGACTCCTTCATGCTAAAGCATGGGTTTTCCCGAAGCGATTACGATTGTTATGTTTACATTCAGAAGTTTACATTCGGAAGCTTCGTGGAGGGGATTATATCTATCTCCTTTTGTATGTGGATGACATGCTTATTGCTTCTAAGAGCGGGGTGGAGATAGATAGGTTGAAATCTCAACTTGGTAAAGAGTTCGAGATGAAGGACATGGGCGCTGCTAGAAAAATACTGGGTATGGAGATTAGAAGAAAGCGGGCGAATCGGCGATTGTTCTTGAGTCAAAAGGGCTATATAGAGCGGGTGATCGCGAGGTTCGGGATGCAAAGTGCTAAGTCGGTGGCGACTCCATTGGTTCTACACTTCAGGCTTTCAGGTAAACAATCTCCCACTACCGCGGAAGAGAAGGCGCACATGGAGCGCGTTCCCTATGCTAGTGCAGTTGGCAGCTTAATGTACGCAATGGTGTGTACACGTCCAGATATTTCACAGGCGGTTAGTGTGGTCAGCAGATTCATGGCGAATCCGGAAAAAGCGCACTGGGAAGCAGTGAAATAGGTCCTGAGGTACTTGAAAGGTACCGCGGATACGGGTCTGTGTTTTGGTGGAGATACATGTCAGATTGATGGGTTTATTGACTCTGATTATGCGGGTGATCTAGATAGACGACGATCTACTACTGGTTATGTATTCAGGATACATGGAGCTCCAGTTAGTTGGCGATCGATGTTACAGGCTACAGTGGCACTTTCTACTACAGAGGCCGAGTATATGACCATGACGGAGGGAGTGAAGGAAGCATTATGGTTGTGGGGTCTTCTAGACGATTTGGGGATTGAGCAGGATAACGTGAACTTGTGGTGCGACAGTCAGGGTGCGATTCACTTGGCGAAGAATCAAGTTCATCATGCTCGTACCAAGCATATCGATGTCAGGTATCATTTCGTGCGGGACGTCATAGAGGAAGGTGATATTTCTCTCATAAAGGTGCATACGAATGAGAATCCCGCTGACATGTTAACCAAGATGGTCACAGGTAGTAAGTTCCAGCATTGCTTGGACTTGCTTCATATTAGCCCGTGTTGAACTGTCCAAGAGGGCATGGCCCTTCGGGGCGGTGATGGGGTGAGGTGGAGACAAGTTCTAAACTACGGTTAGCTTGATCCCGGTGGAAGGTACGTAGGCAGCCGCGGTAAAGTGGCACAGCTGGTTTTGGCCTGGTTTGGTGTTTCAGATCTCTCTGGTGAAGTTCGCAGAGTTCTTCTGGTGTTCGTCCAACATTTGAGGTGTATCAAATGATGTACGAGGTGGAGAATTGTGAACGCGGAGGCAATCCATCAACGCGGAGGCAAAGCTCATCAATTCGGTGGGGTCCACCCACGTGCCCATGCGTGAAACAATCCCAGGCAAGCGGGTTTCTTCACCGGCCCACCAACATCTTATAAATACGCAGGTATTACTAGGGTTTGATGTGGGGAGAAAAGCAGACGAAAAAAAACACCAACATCTTATAAATACGCAGGTATTACTAGGGTTTGATGTGGGGAGAAAAGCAGACGAAAAAAAACTGCAGAGGGTTAGTCGGCAGAAAAACAGAGAAAAATGAGATTTTCCAGGCGGCTGTTTTAGAGAGTTTTCAGATTTGAGAGGAGAGATAAAAGAGGGATTTACAAAGGAGAGGTTTATTTCTTTTGGGTAAAAATAGATTTTTTTTTTTTCTTTGAGACGAGCTTGTGGGTTGTACAAGTCGTCGGTGTTCTTCTCATAGTGGAATCTCCCCTTACCCCTCCCGTGGACGTAAGCAAGTTTGCCGAACTACATAAATCTCATGTATTTATTGTTTTCTGGTTGTTGGCTATTGCTTGTAGGTTCCCTCAATATTCGGTCTTAGAGCTGATGAGAGGAAGAGTATATATTTCACTTTGATGAAATATATCACTTTCAATTCTTGTTTCCTTTGAGAAATAAGAATTTCATTATCTATTCTCGTTTCCTTTGAGAAACAAGAATATAGAGGTTGACTTGTGCTTTTGTGATAACAAAAGTCAGGACTTTCTCTCAGGTGATATCGCTTCCGCGGCGGTGGGCGTGATTCTGTGCCCAACAGATAGCTCTACTAATAGCTAGTGCAGGTTGTCTGCTATCTAAGTTCAACTTGCTGATTTCACCATAATCAGAACTAATTAATACCTAACCTGGTCTAGGATTAAAAAAAAACTCAGGCCTAAAAGTTGGAACATTGAATTGAGCCCTTCCTCTTTGAAACCACTCGAACTTGTACAAATTGCACCAAGCTCGCTATTTGGTGATAGAGAGATATCTTCCTAGTCATGGTTATCTAATAAACATAATGCATATCTGTGTTACTGCGAGATACGCGAGAAGAAAATACTCAAGGTATATATTTGCTTGATACAGTTGAGCAGCTGTGCTAAAAACTTCTTTTAGTAGCGGCTGCTTATACTTCAATAAGTAGTTCGCTCCTGTTCTATTTCTTGAGCAGCAGCTACGGAAAGAAATAGTTCAAGCCTTAAGAGAATACACAGTAACCCAAAGAATAAGCAGTAGCTCTGTAGAATGAGCAGATACTGAAAGCCTATCATTCAGTATCTAATGTAAAATAAAGACTGATACATGCAGCCTTCTAAACAAAATGCAACAATAAATAAATGAACAAGACGAAAGCCTTTATCCGCTTGGACATGATTCCTATTATCTAATTCCATTTTATAACTGTTACCACCTTCACTATGTTAACCTTTGCCATGTCCTTCTTAATCGCTTCCCGCCAAGTTTTCTAAGTTCTATTTTTAATCCTCCTTTTTCTCCCTTACTTCAGTTTTAAATAAATGCTAATAGAAACTACATCGGTTTGTTGATTTCAAATTATTGGGGCAATTATCAGATAATGTAATACAATTCAAGTTCCTAAATTGAAAAATAAAATTATCCTTGTTTACAAGAATTACCATATAAAAGTTTGTCATCATTGGAGGAGTTTGAGGCATTGCATGAGGGCATCAGTGTGCTCAGGCTTCCCAACAGAGACTCGAACATATCCCTTCAATTCCTTGTTGTTGTAATGACGAATCATAACGCCCATTTGTGCAAGTTCCTCCTGAATATAATTTTAATATTAGTTAAGGTGGCAATACAAGGAAATGAACACCCTCATTATGCATTCATTATGCAACAAAATTAATACAGTGATATATGCTGGATGCATAACATCATCCATTAACAACCAATTCTCCTGCAAACGGACGGTAAAATGAAATGAATATTTAAATGCATTTCCAAGTTTTCTGCTTCTAAATTAAGCCATCACCCTATATAATTCCAACAAACCAAAATGGCAATAAAACCAACTCGTGGAAAGAAACAACAGAATGGTAATTTGAATAACTTAACATTTCACTTTCTAAAAATCCACATGCATTGACCAACAACACATCATCTAAAACAATTAAAAGCCTCCTCGTGGAAATAAATATTATGCTATTAAAATATGAAGGTAACATCTTAAGTCATCATTTGGTAAATTTAAGGGCCTTCAGCAGTAGGAACTCTGTACTCTCACCCAAACTTGTAATGATACTTGTGAAGCATTAGGGACAACTACTCATCGTTCACCTATTGTTTGATAAATTCATTATTTTTTCAGTAGGTATTGTTGGGAAATAGAAATAGTCTTGTATTTCAGCCCAAAGAATAGATGACAAAAGAAGGCGGAAAAACAACCACCAAAAGGCGAAAGAATCGTAGTCAGGACAAAGAGAGTCGACAGTCACCGCGGCGCCGACTGTCACCGTGGCCTGTCACGGGATAGTGGTGAGAGTGGACCATCATTGTAGCCTGTCACGAGCTAGATTGGGTAAAATTGGGTTTCGCACTGTCTTTTTTTTGGGAATGCGTTTTGTATCCAGGATTCTTACTCTATAAATAGAGTTGTTCCTGAGGTCTAGGATTTGTGGCAAGACAAGGATAGTTGCATATTGTATGAGAGAAAGTAGAAAGAAACTAAGGAGAGAAATCTAGGATTTGAGATATCTTTTGGTAGGAATTGAGTGAGGGTTTCTTGTGAATCTATCCGAACACAAGAAATGTTGTATCTTGGAAATCTTCCATATAAAGAAAACTCAAATCTCACCCCGTGGATATAGGCAATTATCAAACCATAAAAATTGTGTGTCTTTGTGCTCTTGAGTTATTTTCTGCCGTAATTGCTCTTATTTCTCTTTAGCTCAAATAAGTTTCTCAGAGTTCCACATCGTCGACACCAGGTGGTTGATTGATCTACAAAAAGAGAGTAGAGCTAATTGGGGTGTTCGGTAAAGCTTTCTCAGGCATCACTGCCATATAGATCGGTGGTTAATGGTCAACAATCGATATCAGGTAGCAGTGGGTGTTATGCCACATTTATATGTTTCCTATATGATTAAATTATTTCATTACTTGTTCTAGGTTCTTCTAAATAAATATTAAAGATGAATCTACTAATAAAGCTGTTGTAATAAGAAGCAAAACATTTATCTGAAATCTAAAGTGAGACAACTAGCAGCATATAACTGTCAATAGCAATTCATACTTTCAAATTAAATCTTGCAAATACAATATAATTAAATATTATGGCACATTGCCAAGGTTTTAAATATCGGTTATCAGGGACTTATCGGATGGTCAAAATCCATATCATGTAGCGGATATTGGGGATATATCAGGGATAAGTAGTATTTATCGGAGTGACATTATTGGATGGTGATATACATAATATAAAATTCTAAAATATAATTTAACCATACTTAGTGAAATATAAACATACCAAAATGTAAATAATTATGTTTAGGATCACTAATCAATGGTGGAAACTCGGTCGGGTCGGGTTTAAAGTGCATGAAATAGATGTCTATTGCCTGAAATCAAAACTGAAGCCAAAGGCTGGTAATTCCGATTTTTGGGCCAACAATATCGGCTGGTAGCTCACTTTATCGCCGCATTATCGGCGATAAACATCCAAAAATGATAACCGATTTAGAATTGAACTTATCATAGTGGAAAGCCCCAAAACCGATAAATTGCCCATAATATTGATTTATCGGCCGATATTTAAAACATTGCACATTGCAACTATTTTTTTCTTTCTTCCATAATGGAGCGTGAAGAATATAACTTACCTTTAATCTCTTAGCATCCTTCCCAGATGTAACCTCACAAAGAATAAAGTTAGAATAGCTTGGGAACGGCTTCAAGTAAGGCACTTTCTTCAAAAGACTAAATAACCTCTCTCTTTCCTGAACTAAAGAATTCTTCACCTTCTGAAGGATTTAAGTAAACAATTAGGTGACATGGTAAACTTGATAATCATCTATAAACAAGCAAGCACATGATATTATGCGAATGTACCTCCAAATAATTAGGGTTGCTTAGGGCAGCACATGCAGAAATTTCAGCTGTCACAGACACATTATATGGTTGCTTTGCCCTCCATAGATATTGGATAATGCTAAGAGGAAATGCACCATATCCAACACGAAGTCCAGCTAACCCTGTCAAGTTGAAAGCAGAAGTATAAATTTCTCAGGTTTATCTTATAGAAACATCAATAGCAATCTTTTCAGCGTATCATCATGTTGGAAGATTACATAGTAGATGATTATGTTGATATTAGATGAAGCGGTCACTCATAAGGGGTGAGGGACTTCTTGTTATTTACTTCCCACAAAATTTACATGGTAATAAAGTGATGCAGATATTCTTATAGAGAACTCACATGGTTCTCTATTTCACTGAAGCCTATGACTGCTCTATGACTGAAAAGTGGTTTGGTACTACAGGAGTAATTAGCTGTAGGTGAATGGCAAAGTAAGAAAACAAACCATACAAAGTTCAAAATTCAAATATCTTAGTTTCAAACTTTCAATTTGTTCTCTTTCAGCAGCAGCAGCAACAAAGCATTCATCCAAAGCTTCTGTGGTAGGCAGTATGAATCTTTTTCTCATTCAGTTATGCTAAAGGCTCCTCAGTTTCGAAAAGGTGATCAAATAGGGGAAGATAGCTAGGAAGAATTTCTAGAGAAAAATGGAAAGCTCCGAAAACTAGGGGAAAGATTCAGAAAGCAAACAAGCAATTTCACAAGAAAATTTTTGATATGTATGCCATTTTTCTCAAGTGCAAGATTTGAGTCTAAACTGCACTTTCTGTGTGCATATTTCTACTGATCCTCGTGTATTTGCAAGATTTATGAGTTAACCTGTGCTTTCTAATGTATGGAGTGGTAATTTTGGACTCTACAAAATTATAGGGTCCTACACCAAGAGGAAAGAGATGTTAGTCAAGGCTGAAGATGCAAACCAAACTCTAGCCATATGGTTTAAATGTCTTTCCACTACGAACATAATTCCATCATCAAGAGCAAGAATGACTACATACTTCTTTTTAAATTTCTGCAAGACGAATTAACCACCATTGAGCCATCTTGCTTCAAGATACATGCATTATCCCATAACTGCTTTCTTGACTTTACACATGCACGTTGAATTCACCATAACTACGACTAGATAAATAGAAGACCAAGTAAGCAATTCAACTCTATTTAACATATTGTTAATATTATAATTAGACCTTTTTGACAATAAAAAGCAAGTGCATCCTGTTCAGCACAGACTCAACTATAGAATTTGCTTTTCAGTAAAAGCATATCAGCCAAAAGATAAAGATTAGTTTTGCTGGAAGCCAGTCTTCTTAAAACATATAACAAGACAATCTATTGGATGATGCAAAGCAGTCCAGCATTACAATTGTCATCTAAGAATTTTTCCTACTAAAACTGTTTCCAATGTGAGCAAAAGGTCCAAGTCAGGAAGGCTTTGAGAAAGTATTCAAAATTCGTGATTGCTACCAAACTGATGTCAACCGGCAGAACTAATAGGTAGTTTCTGGCTAAGAAAATTAGACATTTGCTATGTGATTACCACAATTAGAAATTTGCTATGTGATTACCAGGAACTCCATGGCAGGCATAAAAATGTTCATTATCTGCAGCATAGATTACTCATGGAGAAAGGAGAAAGCTTCCAGTCTACTAGACTAGGGAGTATAGATCAATGGGGAAAATAATGAGATGTGTGACTTCATCTCAGGTACAATCTAGGCCAGGGAACTTATTTGCAAGACATGCTCAACGACAACTGTAATTCAAAGAACTAAACCTATAGAAATGATTAGCATACAGAAAAGAGTAGCCAAAGAATATAAGTTAAAAATAGATCCATATAGAAAAGTGATAATATACAATGCAAGCGATTTTGGAATTAAACAAATCATGCTCATGGATAATGACAGAAGCAAGCTGATTAACCTGCTCGCTTGCTAAATGTCCGGAGGACAATCAAATTTTCATGCTTCTTTACCCAGTCCATCCTCGACTTCAGACCAGAGAATTCTATGTAGGCTTCATCCAGTACAACCAATATAGGCATGCTAAGAATCTTTAAGAGATCTTCATCATCGATTATACTGCAAGAAGTAACAATTATGACATCGATACGATATGAAGATTTGAACGTCACCAACTATATAACCAGAGGTTCAAAATTGAGCTATTCAACATGTTGTTCTATAATAACATTTTGAAATCTCGTCATTATTGGATAAAAGAAAAAACGGCAGACTGAACAGGGAATCTACCTTCCATCTGGATTGTTTGGGGATGTAAGGAAAATGCATTTTGGCAGGCAGACTGAACAGGGAATCTACCTTCCATCTGGATTGTTTGGGGATGTAAGGAAAATGCATTTTGGCATTTCCTCTTTGACAACTTCAGCAATGCCAGAAACATCTAAAGAAAAATCTGGCAGCCTTGGAACTGCATAGATCAGAAACATATGACTGTCAAATTTGTAACATTTTAGTTGGAATGAACTACACTAAGTACTAACAAATGAATGAAGTACTATCAAGAAATAGATGCGATAGGAAAAAGTTCAATGCACAGCATTCAGGGGAAACTGATCAAAATATCACTCAGTCATATTCTTCTTCGCAAAAGGAACAATTTAAAAGAAAACCAACTAAGTACCTTTAATGACCAGTGCCCCGTTAACAGCTGCATCAAACTCGTACATTGTAAATGTTGGAGGGCAGTCTACAATCTTATCACCAGGATCAAGCACACATCTGCCGTAGATTAACAAGATCAACATCACTACTATCGATGCATAATGTGCAAAAATAATAATGAAAATTATAAATAAAATCAGGAGGATTCACGTTTTAACCTCATAATTAGATCAATAAGTTCATCTGCACCACAACCAGCAAGTATATAATCAGATTCAAGACCTGAATCTTCAGCAAGAGCAGCACGTAATCGACGAGTTTCAGGATCAGGGTAAACATAAGGAAATCGTATTGTCCCTAAAGCCTCCACCACCTTTAAAAGTTTAGATAGGAACTTAGAAAATTCATAATCACTAAATTTTTATCCTTTTTGTGGTATTGCACTACATTCATGTCGTAAAAAGTAACAATGGTGGCTCTCAACGCATGTGGTGAGAGATCAATTGGGCCAACACCCAGAAATAGTTATATTTCTTAAGTGATTGTAGAAATCATGAGAGGCAAGGTTAAAGGACAATCAAATCTACTGATGAAACAGGCCACTGGATCCATGATTCAAGTTCTCTACAGATAATGTATGTGTTCTTACATGCAAATAGTTAGGCATTCTTCATGAAATCCAAAAGTTGAGAGATTTGTCAGCATAGTATAAATTTTAGTGATAATCCAGAGTTATTTATCAGCCAGATTCCAGGAGATTGAAATTATTTCTATATCAGTTTTATTACGTAAAAGCAAGAATACGAACAGAAAAAATGGTCTAAATGACTGCTAGTACTTGTTGGTGAAGTTAAAACCTACATATATTAGTCAAGCCATCATAACTTGCCTCAGGAGGTGGACCATATGGATTTTCATTTGCATCAAGCTTGATGATGTCCTCAGGCTTCCTGCCAAGGCGTGGAGGTGGACCATATGGATTTTCATTTGCATCAAGCTTGATGATGTCCTCAGGCTTCCTGCCAAGGCGTGTGGATAACACCTGTCAAGTATAAATTTGCATCAAGCTTGATGATGTCCTCAGGCTTCCTGCCAAGGCGTGTGGATAACACCTGTCAAGTATAAATTAAAGGTGATGAGAAAAGAATGGAAGATAAATAAAAAAACAACAGCACATTTAGCTTCTAAAATCATAACTTGAGCTAAGTTCCAAAACTGGCCAGTAAGGAGAGCAGTAAGCTATAGTTCTCTAGGAAGAAGCTTAAAGTTTATTCCCACCTATCAAAACACACAATTGGCTATCCAAATGGATGAAGTATCATATAATTGCACTCACGTCTAAATAAATGTATACATGTCCAAGGAGTGTCCATGGAGTGTCAGAGATGGGTACAAGTACATTAAGTGTAGGACACGGACAGTGTATTAAATATTGGCTGATATATCGCTATATCAACTGATATATCGGTTTTGATGCCCTTCCAATACGATATTTATGAAAAAATATCGTTTTTTTTTTTATTTTTGGTTCCATGGGGTGTCAAAGATGGGTACGAGTACATTAAGTGTAAGACACGAACAATGGAAAAAAAATCGTTTTTTGATTTTTACTACTTTTTCCAATATATCTAAAATATCAGCCGATATTTCATTGAGGAAATATAGCCTGATATTGGCTAATATCCAAATGTAAGGGTTATTGGGTTTGGGTTTGGGTTTGGGTTTGGGTTTGGTTTTGGTTCCCACTAGACCGAAAAACTTAATAAATTCCCAAACCCAAGTACACTAAATCGGTAAATCTCATATTTCTCCTCCCTCTTCCTTTAGCACTCTAGCTCAAAGATGCTAGGCGATCTCAGGTATGAATCTCTCTCCTCTCTCTCTCTCCTCTCTCTCTCTCTACTCTCTTTCTCTTCTCCAGTTCTCCTCTCTCTCAGCTTCTCCTCAGACCTCTCCGTCTCTCTTCCTCTCTCCTCTCTCTCAACTTCTCTCGCTTCTCTCTCTGTCTTCTCTCTCTCTCTCTCTCTCTCTCTCTCTCTCTCTCTCTCTCTCATCTGTTCTGTCTTCTCTCTCTGTGACCTATACATGTATCTAATATTTCTAAACATCGTATATCATTATTCATGATGCAATTTCTTATGTTTAGAATACATTAAATATGTTTTAATTGCATATTACAATGTTATGTCACATATAAACATCATCTGATATGACACCCCTGATATTTTTTACATATCTCAGATATATCCACGATTTTCGCAATCTCCGACATGAATTTTGGTCATCCAATATTTTTGATATTTTCGATATTTAATACATTGGACACGGTTATGGAAGCCTTAATGAGGTGCCTCATGATAACTTAGCTAATAACAAACTTAAATCGCATGCTCTCACCAATTACAAAATCTAACAAACATTATTTAGGATCCATTTTGTTCCACTCTGCTAAAGGTGTTCAAGAGGACTAACTTTTAGGAGCTTATAAATCATGCTGGCTTTTGATGACTTTTGGCTTTTATGATAAAATTCTTTAAAAAGTTTTATAGGTAAAATGGTCAATTACTTAGTCTAACCTAGCTTATTTATATAAGATTATAAGGTAGTTTTTCAAAAGTTGGGTAGTCCCAACTTTTTTAAAATAGGACCTATAAGCTAGCTCATTGGTAATTTACCAAACAGTGGGACAAGAAAAAGCTAGCTTAAAAACTAGTTGACCAAAAAAGAAGCTCTCCCAAACACCCTAGTTGATGTAGGATTCTTGAAATTGGCATTACAAACCAGCTCTTAAGGGTGAGTTTCGCTGAATCACTATCAAATTGTATCGGAGCCAACTCCATGCCTTCCAGTTGCATAAATGGTGACATCAGCATTGCAATATTTGACAAGGACTGATGTTGATTCAAAAGTCAAAGTCGTGATGCCCTCATTGTAGTATTCAGTCAGGACTAGGCTAGAGTAGAATCAATCTACATTGGCACTAGTACGGTGAAGCATGCTTGTTAATAAGGATTCATCTAATCACAAATTGACTACATAGGTAGTTTAGATTTCGGTTCTGAGAACTGAGCTCTTTTAAATCCCTAACATACATTTGGTCACCAAAGATCCAAACTTTTAGCAAAAACAGACAATATCGTCAAATGGGTTCATCGGAAAACTCTATTTATCAAAGAAATTCCAACACTCCTATCCAATTATTACCAAAAATGACCCACAACAAACTCACATTGTCATCTTTCCAGAGGGGAAAATCATCAAACATCTTATGTGCAAACTAAACTTCTCAGCCTTTCTACTTACTATAAAACAAGCTGCTTACCTCAAATGGCAAGATTGGCTGATAGGGAGAGAGCTTTCTGAGATGGAGACGGATGAATGAATCGCCAGTCACTTGCTTCGGAGATCCCTCGATCTGCTGCTCCGCAGGAACAGCAGAAGCCATGAAAAGCCCTTGCTTTCTTCGACTTGAGTTGAATCCTTGTGGGTTTTGAGAAGAGATAAAGAGTCGCCAGATATTCGTAGAGCAGCAGTCATCAGAGAGAGAGAGAGAGAGAGAGAGGAGGGAAGGTTTCAGCCTGAAATTTTGGAATGCCTCCCTTTCTACGGGTTCGCAGCAAAAGACACCCTCTTAATTAAAGAATTTGGAAGTGGAGTACGATGACTGTGTCACTGGGGTTTTCGTGAGGATGTTCAGTTGATGAATATTTTGCTCGACCCTTGACATAGATAGCGTTTCAGTCTTTCTAATTTCTATAGGCTTTTTGTTTATAATCCAAAAAAATTAAGCATATTCACTTTTAAGAATTAATTGCAAGTAGACCCCCCCAGAATCTAGTATTCGCCAATTGCAGATACATACCAGTAGGGGTGTCAAACCGTATCCGTATCCGAGGAAATATCTGTAACCGTATCCATTAGGATACGAATATGGTTACTCAAATCTGTTACCGATAGGATATGGTTGCGGATATGGTTTTGTAGTGAAATATCTGTATCCGTATCCGAAAATATCCGAATACATATTGGTAATACTCTTACGATAGTTTCGATTCTTAGATTATGGATTTGTGGTTAATTTTGACGATCAAGATGTCTAATCTTAGCTTTTCAATCATAATGAACATATTAACGAACTCTTTTTGTATCGCATGACTATATTTTTCTGAATACTATCTAGTTTTCTCATATTCTTTTTGTATCCGCATGCATATCCGTTTATATATCCGCATCTATATCCGTAACTGTATCCGATTTTGATGGATATGGATATGAATTTTTCTTACCGACGTATATCTGTATCCGTATCCGTATTCGAGATAGGTAAGCGGATATGGATATGGTAAGTGCCATATCCGAGCCGTATCCGCTCCGTTAACACCCCTACTTACCAGTCCTCCTTTTCGTACGGATAGAACCACTAGTGTTGGACTAAGTGCAAATAAGCCCTCTTTAGTGAACATTCTTTTCGGAGTGAAAGAATAGCAATTAGGGGGTCTATTCTCAGAAGAACTCTAGGGGGTCTATCCGCAATCATTTTGACTATTTTAAGAGTAAGAAATCCTAATAAAAATGAGTAAAAATTTTCATTCAAATGGTATTCGCAGTAATAGAACTATAGAGGGTTTATTCGCAATTGGACAATGCTATACAAAGTCTATCCACAAGTAATCCTATTTTTAAACCTACTCTTACATAATCATTCTTGAACCCAAAATACATGTAATCCAATTACCTACTTCAATTATTATACAAATATCTAACTTGCTGTGTTTGGTAGACCATTAGATACATTCAAGACGGATCCACATGGATCCTTGTGGGTGCACTTGCACCCCCACAAAGTTTTTAATTTTTAACTAATGAGTACAAAATGTTATAGAGGTGCGGGTGCTCCATACAATTCAAGACAAATTTTCAAAATAGACCACATTAGAAATTTATTTTCAAAATACGAACCATTTAAAATTTATTTGTCATTTTCGACCCAGTTTCAGCTACCTAGCTAAAACTGGGTCGAAAAAGCTGAAACTGGGTCGAAAATGACAAACAAAGTTCAAACACTTAACAAGATTTAAAATCACATGAAGATTAGTGATTGATTAGCCTTACTAATGAGAAAGCCACCTAACTTCACGGGATTTGAAATCCCATGAAGTTTAAACTTTACGGGATTTCAACTCCCGTGAAGTTACAGGTGCAACTTCCAGAGAGCTCACGAGTCTCTGTGAAATGAGCCTCCAACTTCATGGGATTTTAAATCCCGCGAAGTTGCAGGTCACTCACAAACATGCATAGATTGTGTGCATGTTCCACCTAATCCAAGCACATGTTCCACTTAATCAAAAACCTGTTGTATATAATGAATTCCGTCTCATTCACAACAATATACGTGAAAATCCAACCATAAACATCAAATTTGCCGCATATATATTGAATTACAATAATATACTTAAAATTCAACTATAAATCAAAACAATACACCCGGAATTCACATATATAAATAAAAATTGATCCACACAAGCAACAAATTTGAATAATCTAACCATATATATTCTTGAAATTCATAATGATACTGTAAATTTCACATACATCCTAAAAAGTCATCCCCTCCTTCCTCTCCCTCACACTGTAAATTTGAACAAAAATCGATGCTAAAATTCCTGTTGAGAGTAAATGAGCAAAGAGAGAGGGTGCGGGAGGGCGAGAGAGAGAACAGGAAATGAGATCAAGTGAGAGGGGAGAGAGATAAGGACCTCAGTGAGTGGGGCCTATGCAGACTTCATGGGATTTCAAATCCAATGAAGTTGCAAGCCCATTTGCTAGTGAGCTCGCGAGCTCTTTGGAAGTTGCACCCTGCAACTTCACGGGAGTTGAAAATCCTGTGCTCCCATGAAGTTGCGACCAAACTTCATGGGATTTAAAATCCTATGATGTTTGGTGTCATTTTCATTAGTAAGGCTAACCAGCCACTAAACTTCACGGGATTCTAAAATCCCGTAAAGTTTTCGAAATTTATTTGTTATTTTCGACCCAGTTTTCAGCCAGTTGATTGAAACTGGGTCGAAAATAGCTAATAAATTTCAAATGGATTGTTGTTTAAAAATAAATTCCTAATGGGGTCTATTTTTGAAAATTTGTCCTGCAATTTTATATAGGTGCCCCCATAAAGTTGATAACTCCAAACTTTAAGAACTTTTGTTAGAAACGTAGTTGTTTTTGTTAGTTTATGTGATAAAAATAAAAATGACAATGTGCTAATATAAAATTAATATAGAATAAAAATAATATAAAAATAATATAGAAAAATTTTCTGGATCCGGAAAATTCGAAGTTGATGTATTTGGTGTAACAACAGATATGATCGGATTGAAGATAATATAATTGGGTTTAAAAATACTTATTATAGGTATTTTGGATTTAAAAGTGATTTTGGGGGTGGATGGGTTTCAAAGTAAATAAAGGTACACTTTTGGGTTCGTACCATCCTACAGAGACTATAGCATTTTACTACCATACTCAATAAAACATGAAATTCTTTTCCAAAATTGGAAGCCAGCTTTTCTACAGTCCATAACCCCGCGCGTAACTTTTACAAAGCTTCAATAAAACATAAACATCGATACTTCTTGTATTATAAAACATTCCAAATTGTGTGATATAAAGAATAGAACCAAACGAGAGGAGTGGAGATGAACTTATAAAGCTGATGTTCTCCTGTGATCCTAAAATAAGTAAATACTGATACTTCAACATTCGAACAATGCTCCTAGAAAGTTCGCAGCCTGTGAACCATCAGGTGCTCTAGGCTCTTCAAGAATATCGGCACCAGCAGCTTCTCTTTTGTTTTTCCTCTCCTCGATGACAGATTCGATCGATTCAACGCAGTAATTTCTCTTCACTTGCTTCACTGGCTTCTCTGCCACAGTGAACTTGTTACCCTCCCGGCATCTTTCAGCAAATCCTGCCCAAACTGGAGGAAAACACCCAATATATCAATTCATTAATGATATAAATAACATATACAACGACAACAACAATACTAAGACCTAAAGAAATACAAGAGCTGAGAGAATCATTTTTCTGTCTTTTCAGATTATCTTCAGTAAGAAATTTCCTCCTATCTAATCTTATGTTGGATTAGAGTTTCTAATCAAGAATTAGTTTTGTCTGTCTCTTCTACACCTAACTGATCCTATGCTCTACATCACATACCAGCCAGAAGTCATGTTGCTTGACAAGTGTAACAAAATCACCAAGTTGACCAATGTTACTTAACCATGCAAATGAATCTAATTAAGCAACTAAATCTTGCTAGCTCCCAGATCAACATAATCTAACCAGGGAGGATGAAATATGAAATACTTTAATTACTTGGTCAAACCCATGTCATGGTCGAAGCATTAAATTCTGAATTAAATTCTTATTCAGAATGATTCTTTGTGGTTAATCTAACTGATAACTCCCTAATCCAATGGCAATATGTCCGCTCTCTATTACCTGAATGACTACTTCAACTAAATGTTGGTTCCAAGTTTCAAGAGCATCACCTACTGACTACAAGAGGGAAATAACCAAAGAGAAGAATGAATATGGGACTTTTTATCCTGATGCTTATAGCTTTCAAAGAAAAGTATTCTCAGTACTTGCATGTTAGCATTTCCATTACACTAGTTTAAGGTTCTTAGCATTTTATTCTGACCCAATATGAATAAACTTACCAGAAATCATATTAAAAGATGAGCTTCATGATGTCTGTAACTTTCCAATGGCTCTAGCAGACGAGTAGAGAAGGGATGTATTTAAAAGTATAAAATGTTTGACAAAAACTTCAGAAATTAGATTAATTAGAAATAAAAAGAAAAAAAATGAAATACATGAATGTATAACTATAAAAAACAGTGTAACTCATGTTGATGGGAACTGGGAAAATACAATGAAAGAGTTATGATATTGTTATTAGGATGATCATGCATCATGCTAGCAAGCTTGACAAACATGCCAAAAATATTGAACATAGACAATATAATAATGCTGAGATTGAGGGTCAAGGACTGACAAAAACAGAGGAAGAGAAATGATGCACAGATGCAGTCATAAACGAAGATAGCTTCAATGGAAAGAGTAAAAAATAATTTTGGATGATTTGGACATGTCCGGAAAAGAGCGTAGCATATTTCACAACAAAATTGGATATACTTTTGCTTTAATCGATAGAAGTCCTTTTCAAATTAACCTCTCAAATAGTTTATCAATCTCAGAAGTTAAAGAGTCAAAGCCCACATCATACCTCTCATAAACTCTGCGATAACTTGAAGAATTTCATATATCTTCTAACATCTCGTTCAATAAGTCATCACAAAGCAAACCTTAACATCTCCCTATTGTCTCTCAAAGAATTCCCTTTTAACTTCTCAGATGGTTTAATAGAAACCACTATATATGCTTGGGTTTTAATCTTCTGCTTAAGCCTTTGTAATTTCTCAATGATATCAACCTCCTTTTCAGGACTTGTTGATAGCTATCTTTCTTACACCTATTTTGTGACTCTTGGGATGTCATAAAATCAGCAACGATATCTAATAAATAAACGTTGACATGACACACCCACAAATATATTTCGACGAGAACTAGTTCTTCACAACAAGGCTCATGAGAACTTCATTATCGTCTATAAATAAATGTTCATTGCGATCTATACACTCAAATTAATCTAAGAAAGAGAGGGCAAGGGGTTTCAAAAAGATCTTCAGATGGTAACTAGTTGTACAATAAAGCTCCCAATAACGACATGATGGATCATAAATGAATGATCAACACAGTTCATTGTAATCTACACCCAAATTATAGAAAAGAGAAGCAGGGGATCACAAAATGATCGATCAACACGAAGCTATGTGCTTCCATTAAGCATCCTTATAAGTGAATTATTCAGCCCTTTCAGGACAAAATAGGTGTTGAGCTATGTTTACCATTACCAGTTAACCCTTGAGAGCATTAGTCATATTCATCTATCCATTCAACTAATTAAATGAGACCTAATAAATTAAGTTAACGAATATTGAGGAACATTGCTTCTATACAAACTATATTAACAAGGATGGCATCTAAAACACGAGGAGCATATTTTCTTTAATAATCTGAGTAAAAATTAAATTCTTGCTCATGAAAGTCAAGATTTTGAAGGATGATATGATTAATCTATAAAAATTCTCTCAAGAAAGATGTCAAACTAAGCTAATGGTGAGGAATAATTTTAGCAGAAGTAATTTTGCGGAAATTGTCGTCTCGTTATTATTAGAATCCAAAAGCACATTGCTTCTTTCTATGTTGAGCATACATGAATAAAGTCAAAAATAATGCATTGAGTTAAATCAATTAGTCATGATGGTGTTTTTTTTTTGCCATTCTGATCACAACCGAAGTACAAAGCTTTATCTTGAACAGATTTTAAATCATACTAATCTATACAGCCTACATAGAGATTTATAACTAGTCATAAAGGCTTTAGTAGAAATTGTTATCAACAGTTTATTTGAGATTTCGATGTATAACAAGCAGTATTGTATCATTTTGAATTTGGCTATAAAAGATAAACGAATTATGTATCAAAACTCATTTTCACTGTAATCTGAGAAGCTATGATATGGATAAAATTGTTGAGAACATTTGACCTTGCTTTTATGGGCTTTAGCAACTAAGCTGTTAGCTGCAATTCTTATCAAATTTAGTTCATAGGAGAACACTGACATTTGAAAATAATGAATCTAATTCTACCAAATTTGAACTCTATGCAAAATGAAATCTCATATTCTCAGATTTATCACAAAAACTAAACTCAAACATCCACTGAAAATACCTCCAAAATGATGCAGAACAATCGACGCAGCCACAGTCACGTTCAGCGATGCCGTCCCGCCCCCATACTGAGGAATGTACACGAAGAAGTCACACATTTCGTACTCCTTCTCCGACAACCCTGTCCCCTTTTCTCCACAAAGAACAAAACAATTCCTTTTTCAGGAAAATTTATCAAAAGATTACACCTTGAAACCATAAAAATCAATAACCAACCTCATTTCCAAGCAAAAACGCCGTGCTCCTCCGAAAGGGGTGCTCCGTCACCGACGCCGCTCCCTCCGTGATCTCAACCCCACATATATCGAACCCTTTCTCCTCCTAAACAAAAAACAAATCAACAAGAAATCTCAGGAAAACCTAGCCCTAACCCTAGGGTTTTAGAATTGGGTGTTTTAGGACCTTGAGGTAGGATCGAGCGAGGGAGAGGGAGGAGAAATGGCGGAATCGGAGGTGGGAGGTTGAGCCATGGCTTCCGAAGGAGTTAAAGTCGCGACGCCGAAGGCGGTGGCGCTGCGGGCTAGGGTTCCGACGTTGTGACGCTTTGCGATGTTGTGGACGATGATCGTGCTCTCTATTGCCGCCGGTGGCGGCGGCGACATCGTGATTTTTTTGAGAGGGATTAATAGGGCGGAGTTACTATAAAGTAGCCACCTTTCTCCACACAAAAATTTCCAACGGTAAAAACAAAATCCCCCGGTGCTTCAACCGCTTCAAGTAATAAAAATAAAAATAAAAAGCAAAAATGATTTATTCGTCGACAGCAGGGTTCGAACCTGCGCGGGCGAGCCCAACAGATTTCAAGTCTGTCTCCTTAACCACTCGGACATATCGACGATGCCGGTTGGGATTTTGTGCTGACTGGTGAAGGATCAAAATTCATGCACTCACACTTTTACAGCTTTCAAAATCAAGCAAAATAAATAACTGGACTTTTAAGACTGCTGTCCTCCTCATTGCAAGGAAAATATCTTGAACATCTCACCAAAATTTACCTCCATAACAGTTTCATACCCATCACAAAAAACTATTCCAACATTTCTGTGCTTTTTCTAGCTTCAGAATTTATCTGAGGCAATCCAATTTCTTGGAGCACAACTCATCTGGTAATTTTTCCATGCCTTCACCTATTTTGATGTTAATATAACACTCAAGGAAATACATAAATTCTGACTCACAAACTTTTAAACCATGTATTATAATTGAAAATGCTTATCCCTAGCTCAGGAAAAGAAAATACTAGAACACATCTTTCTCGGCCTTCCTACAAAACCGCAGGAAAATACACACAAACCATCTATTAATCAAGGATAAGAGACGAACTAAAATAACTCATTTACATCAAAAGGAACCAAATGATCAAATACCATCAACTGAGACATAAATCCTGATGGGGGAGGAAAAACCGATATGTATAACTCCTTATTGCACAGTTTCAGAATCACGAGTTTGTAATGCATACAGAAGGCTAAATATTTACATCGCGAACCAAAATCCTCTTCTCAATGAGGGTTCTACAATAAGGGCAAAGCTTCACCCCCAACCTCTCGTGAAGCTCGTTGCATTTCTCGCACAACACTTGATGTGCGCAAGGAAGGAAAACTACGGAGATCTCATCGTGCACACACATGACACACTCTCTGTGTCTCGGCACCTGATCAAACCTCAAGAACTCCAAGAACTCAGAAACTCCATCGACATTCTTCTCCTTTCTCTTTTCTACCTCTATCTGTTCAATCTGCTTCTCGAGCTTCTTAATATTGTCTTTGTATCTTTGCACATCGGTTTCTGCTTTTAATCTCATCTCGTTCTCCTTTGCTCTCCCTGAGACTTCAATCTGTTCCCGCCCTTTTCTTTGAGAGTTAACCTGAATGAGTGCCTCTTCTTTTGCTCTTTCTTCTTGCTTCCATCTTGCCTGTTGTCATTCTCGCAAGAGGAAGAATGACCGGGTAAAAAGAGTACAAAAAGTAATGATCTAAGAGGCAGAATGTTATCACAGCTTAAAAGCCGTCTCCTTTCATACTTCAGATGGATGCACATTTTGACCAATATAGGAATCACATACGGCAAGCTCTATCTCATAAGGAATATATCTGAGAAACACCAAGGAAGCATATAGATGTTATAACACGAACTGATCCATTTCCTACGGGTAACGTATACCCAACTTTAGTATGACCATAGAGAAGAATGAGGTAAGGCAGTCGAACTAATTATTCTTGGATGTTGTTTTACACGAACTGATTAATTTCTTTTTTTTTTCCACTGGTGGTCGATGCCACTAAATGTATACTTTAGTTCAGTTTCAGATGAAGTTGATCACTGAATTTCTTAGTTAAATACAACACACGGAAAATTATATAAACTTCCCTGGAATTGTAAGTCCTCCTAGATTAAGCCACTTGATCAACAGAACTTTAACCGGAATTGTGGATGATGAGAACAAATTATAATATAGGAATAAAATTAAAAAAAAAACTAAGTGGTACTGATCATGTGGCAAGAACATAATAGTAAGAACTCTTTTCTAAGATTTTATACCCAAGAATAGAAGGGAAAGTTTTTCCCCCTTGCTGTTCATCTTCTTGTGTGGTTCTCTCTCCTTCAAGTATCATCTTTACTTTATGGTCAAGTTTATATTTTGAAGAATGAATAAATTAATAGAAAATTAAGCAATCCACTAGCAAGAATATAATTCTGAGCACAGACAGCTAGAATAATTGTGTATTCCTATGTAACAAAATTCTGATAAAGAGGAAGAATACAATTAATACCTGGACTTGATCATGATCCTCCTTAGCTTTCTCAAGCTCCTTCTGTAGCTGAAAGAAAATCTTTTTCTCAGCTGCAAGCTCCTCCTGAAGCTGTGCCTCCTGCTTCTTCTCTGACACTAACTTTTTTTCGTTATTCGACTCCCTTTCCAAAGCTCCTCGCAATCTTGCTGCTGATTCAGCATCCTGCAATTTTGCAGCCTCCTCCTTTTTCTTCAGCTTGGAGTTCTCTCGTTCCAGTTTCCTAGCATCGGCAAGTGCCTTTTCCAAATTGAACAATATTCTTAGATGATTCCATCTTTGACCCTGCAACATCTCTTTTATTTTCTTCTCAAAAGACTGCTTATCTTTCATAAGACCAGCAACTTCCACCTCCTCTTGTCTGAGTCTTTGTAGCTCAGTTTTGTCCTTTGCCAACCGGCCAGCAACCTGCATCACATGTTTTTGGGCCCACTCCGACCAATCCTGCAACCGAGCTTGCAATTCCCTTTCGCGAGAATTTAACTTATGAAGTACCTCATCCATCTCATCCTTTGGGATCGAATTAGCATTGGTATTGTCGCTTTTATAAGGCTGAGATAAAGAATTAGACTCATGGGCTAACTTTTTTTTCTCATCACTCCCCACAGCACAAGCAAGAGAAACATTCATATCACAAATCAGCAACTTCCACATTGCATCTCCTCTACTAAAGGAAGGCGTATAATCTCTAACAACGTGAACCATCTCGTGCAAAATGCTTCTCTCCATCTCCTTCAACTTCTCTAAAGAAATCTCTCTTATAGAAGAATCCACCTCTTGTGCACTTCTCAAAAATGTCAATGCATTGTCCATAACATTAGAAACACTGTCTTTACTACCATCACAAGATCTGGCGCGCAACACAGCATTTGTAGCAATCTCCTCACTGTATCCATGAGATATAATCATTGTGATTGCAGACTGAAATATCATGTCTAAAGAACCAAGCGCAATCTCTTCGAGTTGTGATTGAAATATATTGCTCCATTCAGCTTCTTGAAATTGCTCTTGTTCTACCTCTTCTACCGGGGACATGAGGTCATGGGTTTTAGACAAATCACACTCATTTGACTGGTCTTCTTCCATTGGGAACAATTTGTGGATTCAGACAGCGATGAGATCAAATTTAGGTCGGCTCGAAATTTCCTCTTGTTTCTACTTCCCCTTTCTTGAATTGAGATTGAGGAGGGTAACAGGCTACTTCCCCTAGAAATCATTGTAGCCATTTTTAAACAATGAATTCTTGGGCAAAATCTCAATCAAATAATCTTGAATGTAGTGCCAAAATTCGAAAAGATATACAAGCCTATTGATAATTAGAAACCAATCAATAGATTGCGGAATTGAATTGATATGCAAAATTAATTCATAGCAAGAAAAGGGAAAATGGGTTACAGACAAACCTTGGATTGATGCGGGGATTAAAGCAATGGAGAGGCCAATTTCCTGCAACAAAGAAGCTGATTCAATAAAAAATAGGACAACCCAGATAATAAAAAAAGACTAAAATCTTGAATAAATTGGTGAAAAACAAAAAACCCAGATATGCTAACTGGAATTATCATCAAAATACATTGAGTAGAGATGAGCTAATATGCACGCAAGAATGATGGGGAGAGGAGTAGGGACTCACCGAAGAGCTCGAGATTGATGGGTTGATTCAGTGATCGATGAGTTTGTGAATGATCAAAAAGAATGCGAAGATGGAGACAGTGAGAGAGGCTCTGATATAAAACCGCCGCTGCCTTTTCTTTGTTGGCTTTTTAGATATTAGTTCTTTCTTCACTAATTGCATATTAGTCCTAACAACTAGAAAATTACATATTAGTCCCTCAAATCCTATAGGCTGTCACAAAATCATCCCTCTGTTGGTTTTCCAGGTAAAAAAAACAAGCCCAACCATGGTTGGATTAATTTCTAACTCAATACCCACAACTATGGTTGGATTAATTTCTAACTCAATACCCGCAACTGCCAAATTATCCCTATTCATAATAAAAGATGTAAGATTCATTTCCTTTTGATGTTTCGAACATTGCGTGAGAAAATGATAGATAGCTTAGAGAGAAATTTGAGAGAATTACATGGATTTTAAAGCAATATGAATCGATGATCATCGGAAAGTTCAATATTTTATTAGGATTCTTTCCCTGACTACTGGAGAAATAGCATTCAAGTGGGTTTGAGTTTTTCTATGGCAGATTTTGAGTTTAAACCCGTTAAGGAACGGCTTTGGGAACTTAGGGGGTGTTTGTTTCAATTTCTAGAAATTATAGGAAATGTTTTCCACCCAAAATATAATTTCCTTATATTTCTTAAAAAAAATATAGGAAAAGTTTTTAGAAATCAAAAAGCACCAATTTTCTTGTTTTTTTTAACTATACTTGTTTGATTCAAAACAAGAAAATAACTCATAATTTTATAGAAAATAACAAGATTTCATTTTCTTTTGTTTGGTTACATATGCTAAATTTATAGAAAAGTGTCAACTACAATCTTTATCACTTTAATGGCTATGCACATATACAAAATTTTCACATCTTTAAATCTTATAAAAAACCAACGAGAGCAGTACTAATGCCACAAACATATTACAAACGCTCGATTGAATCATTTCTAATAACATAAAATTAACAAATTGGTCTTATGAATTCGTTTAACAACAAAATTTTCAACCATAACTATGAAAATAAAAAGAACAGAAATCAATTAACTATGAATTTGAAAAGAACAAAAACCCTAGCGTCATTTTTCGTTAATAGATCAACTACAAATAGATCAACACAAAAAAATGAGCAAAAAGAACAGATTATTATCGTGAGAGCCTTGAGATCAGAAACCCTAGCGCGAGATTTGGGAACAAGGTGGAACTGTAGCGTGTGATTTGGAAACGAGAGAACCCTAGAACTGGGGCGATGGAGGAGAAGGAACGAGACCTAAGTAGTTGGCGCGAAGGACCAAAACCCAGCTGGATTCGGGGCGGGAACGACTGGATTTGGGGCGGGAACGAGATCGGGAATTTCCGCCCTAGAAGAAGTTCGAGAAAATAACACGGCTGAGGGAAATGGGTATGGGACGGGTTTTATTGATTAAATAAGGAATGTGTCAGATTTCTGTTGATTTCCTCTCAATTTGAGAGGAAATTGTTTTTTGTAAAATTTGGTAGTTTTTGATATTTTATAGAAAATATTTCTTTAAATTTTTTGTTAAACCAAACACAATTTACAGAAATTTATAGAAATCTTTTAATTACAAAATTGCCAAAAATAGATATTTTGAGAAAAGTTTTCTATAAAAGTGTGCAACCAAACACCCACTTAACAGATGACTAAATCGATAATTTATTAGGGTTTTTCTTTTTTAACCCAAAGTTTTACCACCGCTTATTTAAAAACCCACCCACTTTTCCAAACATCAATACACTCATTGTATCTCATCCCACTTATTTTTAAACCCAACATGTACAATACACCCATTATTTATACTGTAATTACCCAATAAATTAAAAATTCCTAAACTACCTTTCATCCCCAAATATAACTGATCTCTCCCTCTCGCTCCTCCTCCAACTGAGCCCAGAGCTCTCTTCTTCCTTACTCTTCTCCTTCAACCACTACCACCAACCTCCTCCTCTCCCCTCCCTTCACTTCCCCTCCTCCCTCAAGCCCATCAACCTCTGCATCTGTTGCCCCCTATCTCCCCTCGCCGCCACGTCACCCACCATCGTCGACCTCGAATCAGATGAACAGCCCACCAATGGTTTCGACATCGACTCCCCCCAGTTCGCCGACGTGGCGATAGACAAGGACCTGAAGCACTTGTCGTCGCCGCCATTGGAGGTGACGGAGCTTGAGGAGCTTTGTGGTTGCATGGGTTATTGGATGACTTAGGGACTGCACATGATACTATCAGGGTAAAATGTGATAGCATGTCAGCTATCTATTTGGCAAAGAACCAGGTGTATATGCCCGAACAAAGCACATTGATGTCAGGTTCCATTTTGTGCGAGATGTCTTGGATGATGGAGACATTAAACTAGAGAAGATCCACACAAAGGACAATCCGGCAGATTTGTTGACCAAAATTATCATTAGGGTAAAATTTGGTCATTGTTTGAAGTTGTTGAACATTCTCCGTTGTTGAGGGATTTTGGAAGCCATTTGGGTGAACTACTTGAGGTTTGATTCCTTGGGCAAGAGGATACGTAGACAGTCAGTTTGATGCATACAGTTTGATGAGTTGATATCGACACGGTGGAGATTGTTAGAGTTCTCATTTGGGTTCCTGACTTGTTGTGGATTGAGTCCGTTGTTGTGGATTGAGTTTACTTCGTACTGGATGCAACAAGTTGGAAGGTTGGTATCGAGGTCAACGGCTTAGTTTTGGAAAAACTTCACCGAGGTGGAGAATTGTTGAAACCGCGGTGGAAATCAGCAAATTTGAATTGAGGAAGCAGCTTCAGTTCGATTGCGGGTTGGTTGACTGAATGACATAGGCCAGTCGACCGATTTTGTGCACAACACAGGGTTTGAAACCTTGTTCGGATCAGTCGACCGGTCACACTTGTGCGGTCGACCGGTACAGGACTGATTGCAGGGCTGATTTTTTTTGTTCTAGACGGTCGACCGCGAGAACATGCCCGGTCGACCAGAATCGGGTAAATAGGCTGTTTTGTTTTCCTGGGTGGATTTGGATTGGGTGTTTATATAAATAGGAACACTATGTTTCTAGGGTAAGAGGAGATTTTGAACAGACAATTAAGATAGTTTTGAGCATTTTTGAGGGAGAATTTGTGAGGGACTTGAGGGTGGTTGGTTTAGGGTTATATTTGTGAGATTATTAAGTGACTACAAGTTCTATTTGCACATACTCTCTCTCTTTATTAGTGAAATCTATCCCCTCCTTGCCCCGTAGACGTAGGCACATTGCCGAACCACGTAAATTTGGTATCTTGCTTGTGTGGTGCTTGTTTTGGTTGTTGATTTGTTCTCCTATCTTGTTTGTGATTTCGATTCCGCTGCGCACAACATACTTTCCATATAAGCAATTCTTTTTCCAAAAATGTTAATAAGAATGTAAGTATACACTCATCATTAGGATAAAAACAAACTCTTCTGGAAACTGATCCTCAATCTGATGAACATCGCTAAATTTATTGATGTTTTTTATAACAGATTGACAAAACAAACCAACAAGAAAGAAAACTGCAAGTCTGAACAAATATACATGCATAAAGATCAACTTCTCTTCTCCCGACCCCAATTACAGATATTACAGGGTAAGAGAAATCAATCTCTTCAAAAAACCCTGCACTTTCTGCTTTAAGAATCTCTGCTGCAACATGCAGCTAGAGTCAGTGATCTATAACATTCCACTGCCTAGCAACCCACCAAAGGAGAAGCATAAACTATTTCAAGGACAACAACAGCTCAATTTATATTTTTCTCAACTTCTTTGAACGCTTTGAATTCTAACTTTACTGGCAGAATGGCATGCAATTGGAATTTTGGTTTCACATCGTTGAGCTAGCATAAGCAACTGACTTAATCCCGTTTCAATCCTCTCTGGCTGAATACCATCCTCTGGCCACTCACTAGCTTCCATTGACAACCACGCAAAATATGGAGGTGCTTCTGATCCTTGTGTCTGTGACCTCCAGTACATAGAGAAACTTTTTGCTATTACGTTCACCACATTTATAACTGGCGAGATGAAGTGGTATACTCTATTCTTCCAAATAAAACTCGTTCCGTGCTCTTCTTGATAATGATTTCTCTCATCCAAAAATTTGAACTCTGTCACAGGTGCCCATTCACCATCTTTGGCGGTTATAGTACTTTGCAGAATGGTTGACATGCACACCATAAAGAGAGGTAGGGTACGAATGGAAAAATGATGCCATTATTCTATCTTTCGGAAACCCTAACCACTTCGAGATCGTCAAATGTATATTGAACCCGCAATGTTGGATCATGATTTGATACAAATACTGAAGCAAAATGTTGAATTCGGTATAGATAAGCATGACGACCCAGAAGAAATAACTAGGGCCAGAATTTGCACACAGTGCATATAAGAAAAGAGAGCTCCAAGGTAAACCATAGACTTGTGAGCGCGGATTTGCAGGAGGCCCACCCAAATAATGCGGCCCACCCAAGTCTTATATATATATATATCAAGTGATTTAGGTTTTTTCTTTTGGGGTAGCGGCTGATTTGTGAAGGAGCACGGGGAAATCATTGGCGGCTGAAGTTTGCAGCAGCAATTGGCAGCGGGTGCAGGTGAAAAAGCAGGGCAACGTGCGGAGAAATTTGGCGGTCATTCATAGAGAAGAAGCAAAGTTTTTTTTTTGTAGTTGTTCTTTGATTTGTGCATCCCTTTGAGAGAGTATTTGTGTGAGGGATCTGAGAGTTTGTGAGAGGGTTTTATTTATGAGATTGTAAACCCCAATTGTATCTCTCCCTCTAATAGTAGATCTCCCCCTCCTTGCCCCGTGGACGTAGGCTATTTGCCGAACCACGTAAAATTTGTGTTCTTGTCGTGATTTGTAATAGCTTGTAGGTTCCCTCGACGCGCAGTCCTAGAGCTGACGAGAGAAAGAGCTGATATCTCACTTTGATGAGATATCTGGCTTTTGGTTCTTGTTCCCTTTGAGAAACAAGAATTCCATTGTGATCTAATCTCTTGTTGTGCACCTTGCGCACCGGAGGTGCTGCCGAAATTTCCGCTGCGCACAACAAGTGG